TATATATATATATATATATTTTTTTTTTTTTTTTCTTTTCCTCCAACTCGAAGTAATGTACTCACCTGTAGACATATTGGAAAGCACCTAGCACTCTGCGTTCGTCCGAAGTAGCTTGTTCTCCAAGTAATCTCAAAGCATCGGGAGCATGGACGGCCAAGATGCATGCATCATACACTTCTTTTGTACCACCTTTAGATTGTACTAATATGGAACCTGCTAATTTTCATACCAAACCTTATAATTAGAAATAATTCATAACCATGACAATAAGTAATGAGATGAAAATGGTGGAGCTTTAATCGTAGTTTTCTCACTTACCCTCATCAGATGTAGAAACCATTTGTACCTCACATTGAGTTCTTATTTGACAACCTCTACTCTCAAGCTCTTCTTTCACCTAAATTTTATCCCACAAATCAAGTAATTTTGACTAAAATGTGAACCTCAAAGTTAAGCTAAAAGCACGAAAAATGCTTGAGGCCACCACAGGTACAAAACACTACCACTAATAAAAAAAATGAGCCCTACATGTAAGTCTTATACTATAGGATCCACCTTTTATTAGTGAGTAATGCTCATCACCACCGATGCCGCATTATTCTTAAAGCAACAAGAAGCTAAGTTACCTTCTTTACATAACAATGTGAGCGTCCTTTGACAGTCATCCATTGAGGCCGGCCGAAAAGCTGAGTAGTCATGAACAAAAAATGATTGAGAAGCAAGAAAAAAAAAAGGAACAAAAAAAAGAGTATTATATATACCTGAAGGAGATGATGATTGCGACAAAATGAGAGAACAGAGAAAGCTGAGAAGTTCATGATACCTTCTGAAGGGCAGGACCAGATTGATGCGCATATTGGTAGCTATAGATACATTGATAATTTTATTGCAAACTTAGTAACAAAAATCCAGGGATACAACAATAACAACAACAACAACAACAAGCCTTAATCCCAACTTAATTAGGGTCGGCTATATGAATCACTTTTCCACGCAACTTTATTCGAAATTAAACTTTTCTGAAGGCCTAGATCTAGAATATCTTTCTTAACTACTTCGGTCCATGTAATTCTTGGTCTACCCCTCCCTCTCCTAGTATTAGGTATAAGAATGTCCTCCCAAGCACGAATTGGTGCTTCTAGCGGTCCTCAAGCGGCCTTCGTGCACCTTATCTTTTATTGGCGCTACACCTACTTTAATACAAATAACTTCATTTCTTATGCGATCCATTCTCGTATGGCCACTCATCCATCTTAACATACACATTTCTGTCACACTCATCTTAGATATATGTTGTCTCTTAATGGCCCAACATTCACTACTATATAACATAGCTGGGCGGATTACATTCCTATAGAACTTTCCTTTCAACTTAATCGGCATCTTGCCATCACATAAAACTCCCGTAGCATTCTTTCACTTAACCCACCATGCCTTAATCCTATGTTGAATATCCTCTTCAATATCTCCTTCGTACTGCACTATAGACCCAAGGTACCTAAACTTCCTAGAAGCCCCAATCTCCACACCATCTAAAGAAATTTTATCACTCTGATTACTTAAGTTACTAAACCTACAATACATGTATTCAGTTTTTGTCTTACTTAACTTAAATCCCTTCGTCTGGAGAGTCTGTCTCCACAGTTCTAACTTATGGTTAACTCATTCCCTATGTTCATCAACTAAAACTATATCGTCCGCAAAAAGCATACACCAAGGAACTCTATCTTGAATTTCTCTTGTCAGCTCATCCATCACGATGGTGAAAAGATAAGGACTAAGAGCAGATCCTTGATGAAGGTCGATCTGAATGGGAAACTCTGTCGTGTAGCCTCCAGCAGTTATCACACTCGTGACTACCCCATCGTACATGTCCTTAATTACCTTGATATACCTCACATGCACTCATCTCTTTTCTAGCACCCACCATAATACTTCCCTCAACACCCTATCATATGCTTTCTCTAAATCTATAAAGACCATATGTAGGTCCGTCTTCGCTTCTCTATACCTTTCCATTAGCATCCTAAGAAGAAAAATGGCTTCCGTGGTTGATCTGCTTAGCATGAAGCCAAATTGGTTACCTGAGATGGTAGTTGTGGCCCTTAATCTCCTTTCGATAACTCTCTCCCAAAGTTACATAGTGTGGCTTATTAACTTTATGCCCCTATAATTGTTACAATTAAGCACATCTCCTTTATTCTTAAAGATGGGGACATGAATACTTTTTCTCCATGCATCAGGCATATGTTTCTTCTTTAGTATCTCATTATAAAGTTTAGTGAGCCACACAATTCCAGCATCTCCTAACGCCATGCAAACCTCTATTGGAATATCATCTGGCCCACATGCCTTCCCATTTTTCATCCTCCGTAGTGCAGTTTTAACTTCTGAGACTCTGATTCCTCTTGTATACGTCACATTAGGTTCTCCTTGTGACCTAAGATTGTCAAACTCTATCGCTATATATATATATATATATATCATTCTATCCTTCTCTAGTCCTAAGTTTCCTATATACCTCATCTAAGTAAGTAGAACGAGTCTTACCAACTACTCACTTAGCTTCTTTTTTCGCTTCTTTGTACTTATTAAAAGTTTCAACATCCTTATGCTTTGGTAAATCTCTATATAAATCCCTCTTGATCCTAATAGCCTTTTGAACTTCCTCACTCCACCGCCAAGTTTCTTTCCCAGGGGGGCCTTTACCTCTAGATTCCCCTAGTACCTACTTTGCCACTTTTCTAATGCAACTGGCCATGGCATCCCACATAGTATTTACATCACCTATATATGACCAAGTAGCATAATCTAACAACTTCTCTTTAAAGGCCAATGCTTTATTCCCTTCAAATGCCACCAACGAGCTCGTGGGAGGTGGTTTATCTTAGTCCTTCTATAGCAAAGCTTAATGCTCACATCTAAGATCACTATCCTATGTTGGGTGACTAGTACTTCTCCAGGAATTACTTTACAATTCTTACATAGAGAACGTTCTCTATACATTGTAAGAAAATAATCTATCTGGCTCAAGTTCCTCCCATTCTTAAAAGTGATGAAGTGAGAATCTCTTTTCTTGAAAAATATGTTTGTTATGATAAAATCATGTCCCAATGCAAATTCCAAAATAGATTTTCCTTCTTCGTTTCGAGCTTCAAAACTAAAACCACCATGGATCCTTTCAAAGTTTTCCCTATCCTTACCAACATGCCCATTGAAATCTCCTCCAATGAAAATGCTATCCTCATTGCCTATACGATACACTAAGCCATCCATGTCTTCCCAGAACTTGACTTTAGTTTCCGCATCCAATCCTATTTGTGGAGCGTAAGCACTAATTATATAGATGAATTTATTTACTAGTACCAATTTGAGCATAATAATTCTATCCCCTATTCGCTTAATCTCAATTAGGTCATCCTTCACAGTTTTGTCCACTAGAATACCATCTCCATTATGATTCCTTTCCCAACCTGTATACAATAACTTGTGTCATAAATTTACAATCTACTTTGCTTTCTCTCCTGTCCACTTCGTTTCCTGTAAGCATAAAATGTTAATTCTTCTTCTTACCATAACATCTACTAACTCCATAGATCTACTAGTTAAAGAACCTACATTCCAACTACCTAAACGAATTTTCCTATCATGGGCTAGCTCTGCCCCTTGCATGAATGTGTAAGGACCCCCTTGCATATTTTTCACCATATTCGGGGCCCGACATAGCGTATGGGCTCACTTTTCTCCCCGGACACGTCCATGAATGTGCGAAGACCCCCTTGCCTATTTAACACTATACCCGGGGCCTGGTATAGCGCGTCGCACGTAGGGAATGCCCCAACAGATTCTATGTGAGTGAAATCTATGAGAGTGACTTATTTTTACGTTGGCCGTTAACCTACCGCAACCCTCCTCATTTACCCGGGCTTGAGATCCAGGGATATGACATAATAATACTATAACATTATTGCTCAAGTGACTTATTAATAACATTAGTTCAAGTGATAGTTTCATTGCAAACTTTTTAATAACATTAGTTCTAGTGACTCATTTTAGAGAGTTAAAAAACAAAAAGAAAGGAAAAAAAAAAAGAAAGGAAAAAAAAGTGTTACTCACAAGGTATGCTTTTTGAAACAGTTCAGAGTAACCATGTGATTTTATGAACTCTCCCAATGTTTCATTGCGGTCTATGTCCGGGTTGTTCTCAAGCATCTTAACATAACTGCCAAGCATAAAAAATAAAATAAAATAAAATAAATAAAAAGTACAACAATTAATATGTTTGTTTTTTTGGTTTAAATCGCATTATATGCAAAAAAAAAAAAAAAAAAAAAAAGGTGCCATTCTAGATAACTTTGAAATACTCGATATGACCAGTATGCTACACATTTGGCATGTTAGAAAAGAACGACTTATACTTGATCACTATGGTGGGCTGACTCGAATTTGCGATCTCTTCACTAAACTAACCATCCAAGCTCCTACGTACCCTCACCTAGATCCTCAAAAGTTATTAATTAAAGCCATAGATGTTCGGCATGTTAAGATGACATATATTTCGACTACACTGGTGGCTGACTCGACTTTAAGATCTCTTCAATTTCTCACATGGAATCGTACATAGTTTCACGTGACCATTTTTTTTTTTTTTTATTGGTTACAAAAATAGTGGAAATTTATAAATAATCTGTTATGCATGGATTCTGCAAGAAAATTACCTGATCACATCGTCCTTGAACTTTACAATTTCTCTAACCATTTGGTAGAAGTAGGGATTGAAGAGATTCTTCTTTTGGGCAAATAAGCTTGACAAGCCATTTCTACTGCCCCACTCGCATCCTTTTCCTTTGTCTAAACTCACAGAAAACGACATATCTGATGTCTCCATATCAACCCCAAGGCTCTCAAACAACTCCATCATATTTGGATACGTTACCTGCCCAATTCAAGTTACAAATTAATGGAACAATATTTATAAATTTACCACCTAAATATATATATATTTATATTTATTTATGAGTTTTCAACAGTTACATTTTTATTGATGCATGATTACTATTAAATATAAAAATTTAATAACGTGATGTGATAAGAATTCAGTTTCATTAATTGTCATAAATTTTTTAATTAATTATTTAATTTATTACAACCATCAAATTAATATTTTACAGTTAAAATAATAATACACATTAATAAATAAATATTTAAATAACTATTAAACAAATGCAAAAAGTCCTGAAAAGAATGTTGCATTTATTTAGCTCCGTATTTTATCACTCTATCTAGGTAATTCACTGCCAAAAATATACTATTTGAAAATGTAAAATATTATTAAAGTCAATTGAAGCTTTATTCTTGTCTCGTCTAAAAATATAAATTTGTGTTCCACTAATTTTTTATTATTTTTTATAATGTCAACTGATTAATGGCCTTTTGTTTTCTGCCAAGATAGCTTGGGTCCTTTTTTCTTTTTGAAGTACTAATAATAACAATAATAATAATGAAAACAACAAGAACAATAACAATAAACGACCATGACATAGATTCAATATGATTTTTTTAATATTGAACTATTAGAAACTGTGTTTTTTTTTTTAAATCTTATTATTTTAATATGCCAGTTATTTACTGTTGTTCTGAAAAATGTGACAACTATTTGGCTCCATATATTGCCATTTATTACTGTTATCCAAAGCAAACTAGAGTGTTTAATATTCAACTATTAGAAACCATATTCTTTAAAAATCATATTTTGTTCATATAACAATTAGTTACTATTGTTCGGAAAAACGTTACTGCTATTTAGCTCCATATTTTTCCATTTATTACGTTATCCAAAGCAAAGTTACCGAAATTTACTCTTAGGGCACGATTTTAAATCATTAAATTTTTTTAAATAAATTTAAAAAATACCTTTAAACTTTAATCACGCATTCACTTTACCCTCAAACTTTAAAAATCAGTCTATTCACTCTTTAAACTTTTAAAATGTGTCAATTGACTTCTATTTATGCTGATGTGGCCGTAATTTTAGAAGACATTAAAGGTCATTCATGTAATTTTATACAATTGGTAATTAATTAACTGCCAAATTATGGGGAAATTTTGAACAAAAGAAAAAAAAGAAAAAGATCTTTGCTTAAATTTCTCAAGAGAATACCCATCGACCATGGAGCTCCAAGCCATCGGCACCCATCGCCCATCTCTCCCTCACGGAAGCTTCTTCAAGACAAATACCAACGAGTATGAATCCGGTTTTGTCAGGATTAATTGGAGCATTATAGTGAGAGCTTTTTAGCTCGTATGAATGGACTGTTTTACCCTTGTATTTTAATTTTATTTAACGCTACATCACTTTTCCATCCAATTTTTCCAACGGAAATAGATAGAAGGGGCAAATATGCTAACGTTTTAAGAGGCGTTCGGTAATAATGTGTAAGAATCATATTAAATTTTAGAAAGTGAATAGACCATTTTTTAAAATTTGATAGGCAAAGTGAACGAGTCACTAAAATTCAGGGGGTATGTTTAAAATTTATCCTATTTTCTTTATCAATTCCTATTAAATTTAATATTATTTTTTTAATTCTAATATGATTTTAATATATATACTATCACAATCTACTCCATCCTAAGTTTTTCTCAATCAGAGCTTTAAAGATTTCCACTATTTTGCACAAACTATACCTTTTAGTATGGTTATTTTCAAAATTTATTGGCAATTGATTTGAAACCTCAACCAACCAGAGAATCTATTATCCAGAGGCAGACCGGCCATTCCAAATCCAAGAGCCACATGACAAAGTTCCAACAGCTAAGCACTTTTCAGCCTTGCTTGCAAGCCCTACCCCACACCAAAATTTCAAATTATTCCAAATTCTTTTTCTCAGTGCAATATTATTATGAACAGTCAAATCACATTAAAATTATATAATGTATATCGTATTTGAAAACAATAACTAAAGAAAACTTGATAAATTTAGCGAAAATTATATTTTGCTGTTGGAGTATTTTTTTTCCCCTTCATATCCCAACAATATTAACCCTTTCTTAGTTCTTTTCCTTTTTTTTTTATTTTTTTTCCTTAATCCACTTCTAATACTAACCCTTGTAGGTATGAGGGGGGAAAAAAAAAAACTAAAAGTCGGTGTGCATGTATCTAAAGGTTAAATTGGATCAAAACAATATTGAAATGAAATAATATGAGGTATAAAAATATGACGTTCAAAATGACGGATTATTATTATTATTATTCTTTTTATGGAAAAAGGGATGAATTATTGAAATTCCCTACTGAAAAATGCTCACAATTATATATTAACTTTTAAGAATTATTTACTCGTGGGAAAGTCGATTAGACATTTTGATTTTTGACCAAATTAAAGAAAGAAGAATTATGAGAAAATAATTGTTTTTTCCCCCCTTGTGTGGCGGCATCTTGTTAAGGAAAAGCAATCAAATCCCAACTTTAGAGCAACCGTAATTGAATACGTAGGTGACAAACAATATTAACACTCATAAAGAACTTTTAAAGTAATTCATTTTTTTGTGAGAGAAATTTAAAAAATAAAAAATAAAAAAAAAGTGAGAGAAAGATAGAAAGCCACGTACCCTGTTGAAGACCATGAAACCAAGGTCCAAATCAACGCCATCAAAAGTAACTGTATTGGCGTGACCACCCAAGTAATCTTCTTTCTCGTAAACAATCACTTCGATGTCGTTTTTGGCAAGAACATACGCCGACACCAATCCACTAATCCCAGCTCCAATCACTGCCACTCTCATCTTCTTGCCTCTAATTTTAGTATTATTTGCTCTATTCCTCTTCATTCCAATTTCCATGAATAATCTTTATAAATTAATGAAAATGAGATACCAAAGAAAGAAAATTTGATGAAGAATATGAAATGAAAAGAAAACCCAAGAATCAATACTAATTAATTTTCACCAAGAAAAGTGCAAAACTTCATAAAGATAATCTTGGGATTAAAAGATTCTTACTGGTGTTTAGAACGCACAATAGTACTATTAAAGGTTATGAACAATAAAAATATCTATTCTTTTACTATATATCAGGAGGATTTTTGGGCAAGAAAAGTGCAAAACTTCGTAAAGATAATCTTGGGATTAAGGGGTTGTTTGGTTAAACGTCTCCTAAAAGATTCTTACTGGTGTTTAGAACGCACAATAGTACTATTAAAGGTCATGAACAATAAAAATATCTATTCTTTTACTATATATCAGGAGGATTTTTGGCTAGATCTTTTCTTGCTCTTTGCAAGGAATTTGGAATATCACATTATTAATGACATTGTCACACATTTAAGAAATTAAACCGGTGTATATGTATAGACATATACATATACATATATATATATATATGTGTGTATATATATACCTGGATGGATAAATGGCATCAATCCTTCAAAGGCCCTATCTTTTTTTGTGTTTGAATCCCTCTTGCGGCGATTGAAGGAGAGCTGAAAGTAACGCAGATATACAGAAAGGAAAAAAAATCAGAAAAAGCACGCAACTCTCTCTCTCTCTCTCAGAAAAAAAAAAAAAAACAGAAAAAGCGCGCAACTCTCTCTCTCTCTCTCTCTCTCCCTCTCTCCCAGAAAGAGCAGTACTGAAAAGATAAGCTATAAAGATTAAAGGTTACGGAATTTGCAGATGAATATATATATGTCCTAAACATTCACGTTATGAATATTAATGTCTGTATATTATACTTTGATCCTCCTCTTTTTCCAAAATTATACTTTGGCTCTTCCACTTTGGAGAAAAGTAAAAAAAAAGACCAAGTAGGCTATTATTTTTATTTTTATATTTTTTAGGGAGCAAGTGTACTCTAATTAATCAATAACTGATTCCCTTCCAAAAAAAAAAAAAAAAAAATCAATAACTTATTCTCAAGTCGCAACGATATATATTCGCTAATGCGGAGTTTTTTAAACATTCTTGTGCCCCGTCCATTTCACCAATTCGAGTTTAGCTATAGTAAAAAGCTCTAAAAAACAGTCACATCTAACTTTTTTACTACAGTAAAAAGCTCTCACATAAAGTCACAGTTCAACTCGAATTAAAAACTCGAATCAGCGAACTAAACGGACTCTTGGATTCTTACCCTCATTTTTTATCAAAATATTGAGAGAATGAGACAAAATTAAATAAGCGAATTAAGAGGAGACATCAGTAATTCTTTTATTTCCCCATTATTACTAAATACTAAAGGAGAGGCGGTGATTTACTGTTCATTGTATAGTAAATGAACAGTAAATTCTTGGCTTACCCCTCCTTCTTGATGTTTAACTTTTTTAATGCCCATTGTATCATGTTATGTTATTTTATGTTTTTGCCCTTGATTTTTTCTCATTGTCCGGCTTAATTCGATGGGCGTTTTTTGTCTTTTTAATGTTAATGAAGCTTCTAGGCTTCTTCTGTCTGTTTGGGTGCTTTGCTTTTTTCAGTGGTAGCGTTTTGTTCAGTTTTTTCCCCTTTGCTCTCTCACTGGAATTGAAAAGTTCCTTCTCTCTTCATGAAGCTTCTAAGCTTTTTTTTTTTTACCTCTCTCGTTAGAAATGTAAAGTCCTTGCTTCTAGGCTTCATCTGTCTGTTTGGGTGCTTTGCTTTTTTCGGTGGTAGCGTTTTGTAGAGTTTTTTTCCTTTTCGCTCTCTCTGGAGCTAAAAAGTTCCTTCACTCTCCCCGATGATAGGTCCTGAAAATAACATGTAGAAAGGTGAAAAATGACAGCACAGTTATTATCGCGAGTGAGTTTACTTATGGATAACAAATTGCATCTTAAGGATATCTTAAGGTAGGAACAGTTATAAGCAACACAGTTATTATCTTCTGTTGTTGCTCTTTTGTCTTGGCTTGCTTGAGTTTGAAGTGCTCGTCCTTCATTCTATCTTCGAGGAACCTAATTTGCGGGTTTACCATGAATTTTCCAGCATGTGCCACGAGTATGTCCTTGTTGATTACAATGGTCACACCACATTCGTTCTCCTCTCTGTGGGTTTCTAGACTCACTGTTGTTCCTTGCTGGTTGTGCAGTATTTCTGATTGCTAGAGCTGAGCCTTCTGTTGATGCCACACCGGATGTTTCTTCTTCTGTCAACATCACTTTCTGGCGATTTTCTTCTCTACGAACTTCGACAAAGGCTTCTTCGGTTGTTGGGAATGGTACTCTACTTAAAACACGACCCCTGACTTCATCAAGATCCCGATTTAATCTAGCAAGAAAATTGAATACCCGTTCTTTTTCAAGGGTCTGTCTCTGCTTCACATTGCACGTTGGGCACACCGAATCTTCTTCAAGGAAAAGGTCCAGTTCCGGCCAATTGTCCTGCAGATCGGTGAAATATTGGGTAACCGATTTGGTTCCCTATTTCATCTCCTTCAGTTTTGTGCAAATTTTGAAGAGTTGTGAGGCATTGCCGAGATCGAAATATGTCCTTTTTGCAGTATCCCAAACATCTTTAGCAGTAGGAAGAAAGAGATATCGGCGGCTGATCATGGGCTCCATGGAGTTGATAAGCCATGCGTGTATAATCGAGTTCTCTGCAAATGACTTTTTGTACGTAGAATCGGTTGGTGCTAGAGCTTTAGCTTTACCAGTGATGTATTCGAATTTTCCCCTACCATAGATCACAATCTTTACTAACTGAGACCATTGAAGATAATTTTTTCCATTGAGCTTGTGAGCCATAATCTGGAGTGAGTTATTGTCTCCACCTTGAAATGCCATGACAGACTGATCGGCGTGAGTTTTGTCAGAGTTTTCTGATTTGGAATCATCTCCACGTGAAGATCCCATCATGGCTATTTTTGCCATTGAAATATTCAGAGTTTAAGGCTCTGATGCCATGAACGCAGGTTAAATAGACTGCCTTATTTAAGTCACAGCTCAACTCAAATTAAAAACTCGATTCAGCGAACTAAACGGACTCTTGGATTCTTACCCTCATTTTTTATCAAAATATTGAGAGAATGAGACAAAATTAAATAAGCGAATTAAGAGGAGACATCAGTAATTCTTTTATTTCCCCATTATTACTAAATACTAAAGGAGAGGCGGGGGTTTTCTGTTTATTTTTTAGTAAAAAAAAAGCAAAAATTCATTGTATAGTAAATGAACAGTAAATTCTTGGCTTACCCCTCCTTCTTGATGTTTAACTTTTTTAATGCCCATTGTATCCTGTTATGTTATTTTATGTTTTTGCCCTTGATTTTTTCTCATTGTCCGGCTTAATTCGATGGGCGTTTTTTGTCTTTTTAATGTTAATGAAGCTTCTAGGCTTCTTCTGTTTGTTTGGGTGCTTTGCTTTTTTCGGTGGTAGCGTTTTGTTCAGTTTTTTCCCCTTTGCTCTCTCACTGGAATTGAAAAGTTCATTCTCTCTTCATGAAGCTTCTAAGCTTTTTTTTTTTTTACCTCTCTCGCTAGAAATGTAAAGTCCTTGCTTCTAGGCTTCATCTGTCTGTTTGGGTGCTTTGCTTTTTTCGGTGGTAGCGTTTTGTTGAGTTTTTTTCCTTTTCGCTCTCTCTGGAACTAAAAAGTTCCTTCACTCTCCCCGATGATAGGTCCTGAAAATAACATGTAGAAGGGTGAAAAATGACAGCACAGTTATTATCGCGAGTGAGTTTACTTATGGATAACAAATTGCATCTTAAGGATATCTTAAGGTAGGAACAGTTATAAGCAACACAGTTATTATCTTCTGTTGTTGCTCTTTTGTCTTGGCTTGCTTGAGTTTGAAGTGCTCGTCCTTCATTCTATCTTCGAGGAACCTAATTTGCGGGTTTACCATGAATTTTCCAGCATGTGCCACGAGTATGTCCTTGTTGATTACAATGGTCACACCACATTCGTTCTCCTCTCTGTGGGTTTCTAGACTCACTGTTGTTCCTTGCTGGTTGTGCAGTATTTCTGATTGCTAGAGCTGAGCCTTCTGTTGATGCCACACCGGATGTTTCTTCTTCTGTCAACATCACTTTCTGGCGATTTTCTTCTCTACGAACTTCGACAAAGGCTTCTTCGGTTGTTGGGAATGGTACTCTACTTAAAACACGACCCTTGACTTCATCAAGATCCCGATTTAATCTAGCAAGAAAATTGAATACCCGTTCTTTTTCAAGGGTTTGTCTCTGCTTCACATTGCACGTTGGGCACACCGAATCTTCTTCAAGGAAAAGGTCCAGTTCCGGCCAATTGTCCTGCAGATCGGTGAAATATTGGGTAACCGATTTGGTTCCCTATTTCATCTCCTTCAGTTTTGTGCAAATTTTGAAGAGTTGTGAGGCATTGCCGAGATCGAAATATGTCCTTTTTACAGTATCCCAAACATCTTTAGCAGTAGGAAGAAAGAGATATCGGCGGCTGATCATGGGCTCCATGGAGTTGATAAGCCATGCGTGTATAATCGAGTTCTCTGCAAATGACTTTTTGTACGTAGAATCGATTGGTGCTAGAGCTTTAGCTTCACCAGTGATGTATTCAAATTTTCCCCTACCATAGATCACAATCTTTACTAACTGAGACCAATTAAGATAATTTTTTCCATTGACCTTGTGAGCCGTAATCTGGAGTGAGTTATTGTCTCCACCTTGAAATGCCATGACAGACTGATCGGCGTGAGTTTTGTCAGAGTTTTCTGATTTGGAATCATCTCCACGTGAAGATCCCATCATGGCTATTTTTGCCATTGAAATATTCAGAGTTCAAGGCTCTGATGCCATGAACGCAGGTTAAATAGACTGCCTTATTTTTATTAATTGAGTGAAAGTACACTTAAATAGACTATGGTTTGAATACCAAGTCTATTATCTTCTCATAGATTTACGGCAGAAAGATTGCTACTAGCTAATCTACTCCTATTTGAATTTAAATACTAGCTGACAACTCCTAATCCCTATAATCGAAAATAATAAACTAAATAAAAGGCTATTTGACTTATTCAAACTCTCTGAAAAGATCTTATCTGCTAACAACTATTATGACAGGATTATTGATTTTAATAATTGTTACTAATATTGATATACTTTTATTTAGTGCATACAAATTACTTGCGTGGGCATATTTAGTCCTTGCTGACGTTTGAGTGCTTGCTGTTTCATTTTTAAAACAGGGTTTATAGCGTTCCAGGTATTAAAGATAGCCTTTGCCTATAACAGTTTAATATCCATTATTTTCTTAATGTAATGATTTTTTCTCATGATATTAACGTGTCTATTTTATCCTTTGTTATTCTTCTTGATAAAAACTATTAATTTGTGTCTACTTCTTTTTTTTATCTTTTTTCTTTTAAATCCTGTTATTCTATAAGCATATACTGCTAAAGTTTTTGACCTTTGGCTCATTCACTTATTAGTCATGTATAAACTTTTTGTGGCAATAATGATTAACAAGAAACTTGATATATTAAGTTTTATATAAACTGTCCTAAAATTGTTGTAAATGAGCCTATCCTATTTGGATTTTAATCTAGCCTACTGTTTTCCACAAAATTTTTATGCTATCCCTTCTTCCTTTTCCCCGCATATTCTGATCCT